CAGGTTTGAGATCTATACAGTTTACAAACCCATTTAAACCAATCTTTTAAACATCCAAACATAAATAAAGCATTCAAAACTGAAATTTCTTAGTGGGTCTTTCAAACATTTTCATAGCATTTAAATGGTGCAAGTTTAATCTTTCTTCCTATTACTAACACGCTAATTTTCAAAATGCTCCCATAAGTTAGGCATTTTTGCAGGATCTTCAACATTTCAATGAGAACTTGTCTAACAAACAAAAGAGATCATAATTGGAACATAATAAAGTCAGGCTGAGATCGATTAAACTGTTTAGAACTGGTAGATATGAAAAGAAATCCATTGGTCAAAATAACAGCATTATTTATATTTACCTTGAGGTAAGAAAGATGAAAAAGCCACAATCAAAAATCTCGGGTAAATTTACAAATCTCCTAGGAAACTTAGCTGTAAGATTTAGTCAGGTATCCTTTTTGAATGTGTGCCTTAGAAATCACATTTTCTGGCAGAAACAATCAAAAAGATTGATAATACTTCCTATCCAAGGGGTAATCTGCTACATATTTTAGCTAATAATTTAAATCAACAGGCATACAGAACAGACTCACCGAAGGGACATCCAATATCATTTCTTCTACAGCTTGTAAGTCTAGGCCTACCCTGGCACTGAGAACTTCAAATATATATTTATATGAAGCATTAACTTTTGCTCTTCGATTTTCTCTTGCTTTTTCATATTGAATCTAAAACATTAAACAAGACTTTCAAGCTAAAAATACACAAAGTAATCACAACAATGACCTTCTACTTAACTTGCAACTAATGCTGAAATCTACTGTCTTGTATTTATGGCTGCAAAATGCCCTAATCTTTAAAAAAACCTTAATTTTCAGTGGCTGACAGAAGAACAAACTGGTAAGTATTATTATAAGATGCAAAGTTAAATCTGAGGATATGTCAAGGAAAACCAAACATTAAGAATAGCAGAGTTAGATTTTAAGATTTTAATGTGACATTAACTGGTTTCCGTGTTCACAATCAAAATTTCAGTTTACTAAATTAGTACAGAAAGGTTAAAACATTCATTTAAAATAAAGAATTTAGGGTGGATAAATATTTGCAGGAACTAAGCTGAGTACAGCTTTGCTACAATGTAAATTATTTAGTTAATATCTCCTGCTTCCAACCTCTATTACTTTAAAATTTTAAAATATTACAAACATGGAAAAAAAGACCCATTTTGCACTAGAAATAATTTAGTAAAAGAACAGAGTCTAAACAAAAATAAAACAAATAAATAAAAAATTTAAAATAATAATTAGTATAAACTGAATTTAATAATCTGATGAAAGAACCAGAAACTTATAACCTTTCTTGCTTTGAAACTTTGCACACTTGGAACTCCACTAGGGCGGTAAAACTTAGACAAACTTTGACTTCCAAAAGAACGAGACCCTTGCGAAGAGGAAAGGCTCTCTATTCGTTGAGCAGGTTGAGAAGATCTGGCTACATCTTCTCCAGTGGCTGAACCTTTTTTAGCATTTTTTGGTACTCCTGCCATTCTAAAATCTGAAATTTGAAAAAAGAAGATTAGGTTTATAACAATCCAGACATTTCAAGTCTCCCTTTTCCAGAAGACAGAAGCATCACAAAACTATCTTTCCAGGTGTATAAATGTAATAGTCTCATCAAGTCCTCTTCCAGTTCTTAGAATGACAGACATTTATATGTGTTTTTATGATAGGTTACAAATGTCAAGACAAAGATTGAGGCATTTTTTAAAGACTATTTTTCATACACATGCATTTTGTGGAGTGAATGCCTCTCTATATAAAAAATATGTTTTAAAATATAAATAATTTCAGTGCGTATTGGATTGCTGAGAAGTAGAAATGGTTTCAGATACAAATTACTTACTTAAATTTTAGTTTCTAAAATATATACCCAAATTCAGCAACTGAGCTTACAAAAAAAGGCACATACACAGGAATTGCTAATCTGCTCAGTGTACCATTACAAAAAGGATCAAGACAACTATCAAGAATTCCTTAGCAGTTCATATGAGGCCTAGAGACAGCCTACCACTGCTGTAAAATTGTTATATACTCTCTTAGATACTATCACCTGATTTGGGAAATAAAAAATGAAAGGTGAGGCTGACATAAAAGAACATCTGGTAGTACAACACTAGCTCCTTATTTTTACCTGTGTAAAAGGTGACAAATTTGCAATGCTCTATGGTTTTAGGCATGCAATCACCTGCTAAACATACCACCAAGGAAACCAAGAAACAAATTTAGGAAAACCACAAAAAAAAAATTATGAAATTTAAATTAATTACATTTATTTCTTTTTCTTCATGTTTCTTTGACTAGCCTGGTCATCTACAAAGTTAGCAGTGGTACTTTCTTCCTTGATTATTCCACTCAAGTGGAATAGGTTGGATGCTAATTTCTTTGCCTTTTAACTGGTTCATTTTAGCTAATACTTTCACCTGAAGCACAAGATGAGAGAGGTGGGGTTCTCGCAGCATTCTTTAAAAAAACCCCAAAGATTGCATTGTATCCTGGCATTGTCCTTGGTCCTCCAAAATCTATACTCAACATACCTGGTAGCTCAGGTGAGATTCTTACACTTTTCAAAAACCTGTATGAGCTCCATCTGCCCCCCTCTCCCAGCTGGAATAAAAACCACGTTTTTATGTCAAAAACTCCTTTCCTTCTCACCAGGATGCTCCAAACCTTCTCTACAGGACCTGTTCATTCAGGGAAAATAGGTCTGGCTTCCAGCATGCATCATCTTAGGAGAGCTGAAGGAGAAAAAAAGATAGGGAAGAAGTGGAAGATTCCCGATCACTAAACATTGGGAATACAGCCTTTCGAATTTTCGAAATGACAGAATTTCGGCTCTCTTCTGAAAATTTGAGCTGCCTTAGCCTGCACTTCAGCTTTGGCAGAGAGATGCAGGCGAAGATCCTCACCGACCTGGCTAGAACTGTGTCTCCCCACAGGGTGGGCAGCGTGGCGCGGTCCCCCGACAGCGCAGCGCCCATGGGCACTCACCTCGCCTGGCGGAGCGGGCGGTCTAGCGCCCGCCGTGGGCAGACTCCTCCCGGTTCGGCGGAGAGGCCGGGGCTGGGGCCGGGGCCGGTAACCGGGAGCCCGTAACCGCTGCGGGGCGGGCTCGGGGCGGCGGCTCCAACGCCCGTCCAAGAGCCGCGGGCGCGGGGCTCAGAGCGTCGGGCGGCCCCTCGTACGGCCGGGCAGAATTCGACCCCACAAAATTCGAACCGTCATTCCACCGTAAAGATCTCGTGTATCTGGGAACCTCCTGCCTGGGCGGTTGGCGTGGTTAAATGTGCCTTGAGTTACTTGAGTAACGCAGACTGAGTTTTGTGCTGCGAAAGTGCTTTGCTCTCGATTATAAAACGTGTGGAATTTTAATTCTTTTTTTTCCATACAATGTATTCAATCCTGGTTTTCATTCTGCGTTTTTGAGAGAAATATTATCCTTCATTCTTAGGCCTGAAATTATATTTCTATGCTAAAGGATAGTGTGTAACTCCAGAGGGTGAAGAGAGGACTGAAAGGAGGCCTACCACTGTGCATAAATATCTAAAGGCTAGGGTAGAGGGGTGGGAGGGGAGTGCCAAGAGGATGTTTCTAGGCTCTTCCCTGTGGTGCCAAGCAATAGGATAAGGGATAAAAGGCAGAAAGTGATGGACAGGACGTTCCTCCTGAATATGAAGAAGTTCTTAATGTGAGGGTGACTGAACCCTGGAACAGATTGCCCAGAGATTGTGGAGTGTCCCTCACTGGAGATATTCAAAAACCATCTGGACACAGTCCATGTACTCTGGAATAACACTGTGTGACAGGGAGATTGGAACAGATCCACTGTGGTCCCTTCCAATCTGCCCAGTTCTATGATTCTTTGACAAATGCTACTTGAAATCTTTTCCTAGCACCTGGACGAAAAAGCAAAAATCAACCTCTGTCAATTATAAACCAAGGCTGCCATGAGGATGATAACAAGGCAAGACCAGGATTCCCAAACAGCCCAACACTGCCAGGACTTACAAAAGCAGCACCATTCCAGTAGAGCGGGATTATTAGTAGTGTCTACTCTGGCACTGGTGTGGTACCCTCGGCCTCCCAGTGGCAGCTGGAGGGATGCATCGTCAGCAGTTGACAGGGAAGTCACCGTAGGGGATCCTCACTTTCATGACATGCTTCAGCTAAGTAATGCCATGGTCAGGGAAGCTCCTTCCCTTTGGTCCTTATGTTGTCCTGAACAAGGGCTCATTACCTGTGCAGCATCAGTTCATACACTGAGGCAAGATATTTCTATTTCTTATTCTAGTTTGCTCCAAGTAGAGAGCTGGGTGGTAACACACAAAGTGCTGGCTCCCCAATAATCAAAACTTGTATTTATAAATTCCAGCAAACAAAGGCATCAGCATTCATTGGTTACAAATTACATAACTTTGCTATTAATTAGTGCTCAATCTTGTAATTGCTAGTTATATCTCTCACTTCTAATGATAGTTAGTCCACAGGTGCAATTCTTCCTTCCATTTGAGTCTTGGGTCTGTTTTGAATAGGTGGTCAATGAGTCAGTGATCATGATTGCCAATTGCTGGGATTACCTTTTTCCCACTTACTGCTCAGTTTTACTGACTTCACTCTTGGTGGCTCTCGTCCAGAGAGCCTATTCATTTTTGGATTGCCTTCTTTTTTCCTTAAAACATTAGATAGCCAAGCAGACGACACTCACAGTGTAGTCGCTTAACCATAACTGTGCAGATATAGCTACTCTCTAACAGAAAAACAAAAATTGAAAAGATTGATTCAGAGCTTGAGGGGCTCTCTATGCGTCAGGGATGAACTGGCAGACCTCGATCCGATCCCAGACTTTCGCAGCGCTACTCGAGCATCCTTGCGAGGGAGAGGCCCGGCCGCTGCAGGGGTGGGATGGGGCGGGGCGGGGCGCAGCGCCGACTTCCCGCCTCCTCCTCTCCCTCCTCCTCCTGCTCTCCACCCTTCTCTGCCAACATGGCGGCCCCCGCGGAACTCAGCGGGCTGACGGACGAGGCAGCCTACGACGCCTGCTCGGAGCCGGATGCCAGCACTAAGGTGGGGTGGGTGGGGG